TATTGGGTTTTTCTCTGAAGATTTTCTCTATGTTTACTGTAATGATGTCAGTGTCCTCGTGCAAAAATGTGAACTGTTATATGACCCTGTCAATTGGAGGTTGCTTATTGATTTCTCTAAGAGAAGTTTGAAAGCAGTTTTGCTGCATAACTCCAACAAATACGCTTCCTTACCTATTGCTCATTCTGTACACTTAAAAGAATCATGCTATAGTGTTAAAGCTATTCTTGAAGTTATTAAATATAAACAACACAAATGGAATATATGTGGAGATTTGAAAATACCTGTCATGCTTCTTGAACAACAGTCGGGTTTAACAAAATACCCATGTTTTATATTTTGATGAGACAACATAGGTAGGAAACAGCAGTATGTTAAACAAAATTGGCTTATTCGTACTTGCCTCGAAGCAAGAGACCTAAACATTCTTAAAGATTCATTGATTAATGCGAAAAAGATATTACTACACCCACTTCATATCAAATTAGGAATAATGAAGAAGGTCGTAAAAGCCTTAATAAAAATGGTGCTTATTTTAAGAACCTTGTAGATAAATATCCCAAGTTCAATGATGCCAAAATAAAAGAAGGGATATCGTTGGGCTATTGAGAATTGATGAAAACTACTGATTTTGAAAATGTAATGATTTCGTAGGTTACAACATGAGCGTGAAGGTTTTCCATCAGGTTATAAAAGAAATGAAAAAGACGGTATCAGGGAAAATGGTGCCAATCTATGCTAGCCGACTTTTCCTGGTCACTTCAACGTGATGGCCCACATGCTCAACACAAGAGGCGATCTGGCACAAGATCTATGGAACAGAAGCAAAAGAGATTCCATAAACGTTAAATACAATAGAAAATTCGGATGGGCGTGTTCCCCACATCCATATACTGGGTTCCAACTCATTATGTCATGTTAACATGGCCATAACTTATAATGGAAAAATTGTACAGCATCATCTTGAGCGCGCATTTTGAGGAGTAAGAATAGTATTATATGATGATATATGTAGATAGAATGCACCAAAATAATATTGTACATCTCACACATAACTTCAAAAGTAGAGAAAAAAAAGGCATTTTTCTCTACAAAAAAAAGTTTCAATCTTTTATTTACTACCGTTTTGGAGAAAACAACATTTTCCTTTAACCATGCTGAAAAAACGTCAAATTAAATAGGTAATGTAAGACGAAGGTTTTCACGGCTGGTGTCAATTAAGCTAAAACTAGAACTAACCAGCAACCTTCTTCAGAAACAAGTTCGAAGTTGTTTCTGAAGAAGGTTGCAGCATGGCATCCGCAACATCAAACATATTTCAAAAGACGAACGGCATAACACGAAAGAGTCTAGTTGTAGGTCTAGTGTTAGTTCTAGTGATTCTGCTACTTGTAGTTTTAGTTTAATTAAATAGGTAATCTTTGAACATTTACACAAAATAAATTGATAACCATGGAAACTTCAAATGTATAACCTAACCTCAAACGTTCCTTTATAACCTCAACAAAATTTAATTATTATTTGTTAACTGCTCTGGAGAAATCAATTATTTTATACCACAGTAACTACCGTTAAATTAAGTAGGTTAATTTCTAACTATAAGTACTGAAGATATTTTTGGAATTTTAACAACTTTTCATAACAAATTAAAATCATTACTACCAAGAAATGTTGAATAATAATTAATGAGTGATAATGAAGTTGATTAATTAGTAATTCTTAAAAATTTTATACAGGGTGTTTCGGTGACTGATGAAATGATGACGATTCATTTAAAAAAAATTAGTAAAAGTCCTCAAATTGCAAAGATACAGGCCATCAAAGTTAGGAAATTTTAACACATTTTTCTAAATATCTTAAACACTATTTATGGTAAAACGTTGAAATTTGGTACAGTGTAAACTAATATCACGTAAAATCACTAACAATCACTAGGCAATTTTTGAGTTGGATCGGTACGCTATCATAACCCTACATTTATTTTTGCAGTTTCTAATAGTAAATTTAGTTTAGAAACTCTTATCACTCTTAGAGAATATTGATAAAAACCACCGTTTTCGTATGAAATGCAAAAATTTTAGGCTCCGAATTCAATAACACTAAAAAAAATTAATAAATAATTAATCTGAATTGGCAATTGAAAATCGACCTGAGCTGTCATAACTGTTACGTATGCACATGTCCAAGTGTAGATTTAGCTAAATCATATTTCTAATTTGATTTAGTTGGTTTAATAAAAGAATCCAAAAAAAATAAATTAAAAATCAACAAAAACACGACAGGAATAATAAAAAAGGTACATAAAATAACAAGACAAGTAATAAAAAATACTAAAGGAAATGTTCAAAAACTTAGATTTCTTTTTTTTTAGTGCTATTATTGAAATCGGAACCCAACTTTTCTGCATTTAACACGAAAACGGCGATTTTTATCAATATTATCTAAGAGTAATAAAAGTTTCTAAACTAAATTTACTATTAGAAACTGCAAAAATAAATGTAGGATTATGATAGAATAAAAATGTTCTGAGCAAACAAACTTTACGAACAGCCTGTATAGCATTGTTCCCGCGTACCGATCCAACTCATAAATTGCCTAACGATTTTACATCACATTGATTTATACTGTACCAAATTTTAGCGCTTTACTGTAAATAGTGTTTAAGATATTTGGAAAGATGTGTTAAAATTTCTTAACTTTGATGGCCTGTATCATTGAAGTTTGAAGACTTTTACTAATTTTTTTTTACATGAATCGACATCATTTTCACTCTAGTATATGTGGCTAAATTTGTTCCCCGAGTCACCGAAACACCCTGTATATTTCGTGAATAACTTAATAACGAAACGTATAATAAATTTAACAAAACGGTAACCTTGAGAATAGTATTGAATAGTATTTTGACTTCCCAGTTGACCTACAATATTTTGGCTACCTAGCGTATATCAAGTTAGATCAATTTTGTATTTTAATTAGTCTATGTGGTTAAATTTAAGATTCACAAAATAATTTTAACAATAATTTACGTAATGATTATTTTTGGCTACATATCTTTTTAAAACCCGAGTTTTAAAAATATAAAATGAATAAAAATAAAGGAGAAAAATGCTCAGCACTTTTTCTATCTCCGGAAACACGTTATAAATAAACGCACGTAGGCGTATCCAATAATTACAGGGACATTCAAAAATATTTGAACTTTTTTTTCTGGTTCATTCTTGTAAGTCATGGCATAATTTTAATCACAAATACTAAAGTTAAAATGATGACAATTCGTGTAAAAATTTCTGGTCCAAATCCATAAATGGCAAATTTTTATGGTTAGTTTTAGAAACAAAAATTTGGTAAACAGTACAATGTTATCAGGAGAAATCGGTTAAGATCACTATTGAAAATATGCAACCACGGGATCAATGCTATACAGGTTGTTCACACAGGGCATTTCCTTAAAACTTTTTTATTATGTCTTAAACCCTTAAATTTTCCAACTGATTCTAAAAGCCTATTTTACTTTAAAATTGTTTTCACTCTTAGAAATTTTTGATTAGACGCATCCTTTTCGAGTTATTCGCAAAAAGATACAACGTCGATTATGAAATATTTTCATTAATCGTAGGTGCATACAAACAAAATTGTAACTGGAATAGTAAAACAACTGTCAAACTAACATTCGTCAGTCGGTATAGCAGATAGGTTAAGATTAGGTAGTAGTTGTTTAAAATAACAAATAATTACAGTTTTAGTGCGCAAACTGACATGCTTTTAACGTTGGCAGAGTGTTTAGGCAATGCTAACGCAGCGGCGATGTTGCAAACAACTGATGGTAGTGTTGATATCAATAGTTTGGACATTTCGGAATATCCAAAAGTACGGCTTAGCTAGCTTGTCTACAGTGCAAGAATTAAAAATTGTTGATCATCCGTTGCGAGTACGGTGTTGCCATACTATGATGGAAAAATGTGCTATTGATGCTGCTTGTTCAGAAAACATACTTTTTATTGATGATCATTAATTTGATAGATTGCTTTACTGCTTTACTTACGATTTGTTACGATTTATGACAATATTTCAAAAAGGAGCGTGTATCTTTTTATGAATAACTCTAAAACGATGCGTCTAAAAAATTTCTAAGAGTGATAACAATTTTAAAATGAAATAGGCTTCTAGAAACAGTTGGAAAATTTTATGGTTTACGACATAATAAAAAAGTTTTAACGAAATAACCTTTGTGAACATCTGTATAGCATTGACCCCGTGGTTGCATATTTTCAAAGGAAATCTTACAATTAAACGATTTCTCATGATAACATTGCATTGTTTGCCAAATTAATCTTTCTAAGACAAAAATATTTAAGAAAATGATTAAACATTTTTTAAGTTAAGATCAAAAATTTTTACACGAATCGTCATCATTTTTACTCTAATACTTGTGATTAAAATTATGGCACGACTTACAGAAACACTCTTCTGTATAATTAAATTTTTCAGATAAGTTTAATTATTTAATCAAAATTCGTAGAAATTGTTCGAACAAACAAATGTCATCAATCTACTAGATATGGAACGAAATAGTAAATATCATTCCACGTTGGATTTGTCACAAAAACCTGAATGAGTCATCGGTAATTCCCTGCAGCGCTTTTATAAAAATATTGATTACCTCACATGTACCTCACTATTTCACCACCTTCTGTTTTAATTTAATTTACTCCTTTTTTGTCTATTTTTAGATTTTATATTATTTTTTTAAATTAGTGTTAATTAACAAGATAACATGTAAAATTTATACTTTATAAAACCATAAACTCGAACCGATTAACAATTTTTTAATTAAAAAGATACCGTTTTAAATACGTTCTACAAGATGGTAAACGGCTTGTAGTTGCCGCAGTTGGTGTTGTTGCAATGGGGTCACTTGAGACTTATAAAAAGGAACGGACAAACGGTATTGTGGTCGAGGTGAATTATAAGACCGTAAAAATTCGATTTTTTTTACTCACCAAGACCCATTTTACAGAACATAGCTTCAGCTTGGATAACAGTTTTTTCCGGTTTTTCAATTTTGTCGATTTTTTCTTCACTTTTAGATTCTTTTTCTACGGGTTTTAAGACTTCAACAACATCTTCTACCGATTTACTAAGAATAATCGGTTCATCTTTTTCGATTATGGATTGTTCAGATTCTTTTGGAAGAATTGGAGTGGAAATTTCTCTATCAGTGGAAATCATTTTATCGTTTGAAATCGATTTATCAAGTTTAATAGTGTCGGATTTTGAAGAGATCAAATCTAGTTCCGGTTCCGGAGTTTTGCTTTTAGATTCAACGATTTTTTCAATTTTCTCAATTTTTTGAGTTTTTTCGGTTTCAATTGGATTTTGGATCGTTTTTGGAAGCTCAAAATCGTCTAAATCCTTAAATAAATCACCTTTTATATGATCGTTGCTCTTCGCTATGTCTTCCTTGGTTAATTTAAAATCATCCTCAGGATCACTATCAGAAAATCGTTCCATAAGATCATCCACAGTTGTTTCGTTCGGTTGGAAGTTGTTTTGGGAGTTGGTACTTAAAGAACCTCGTTCCATGTCCATAAAGTTTTGGGAGGCGGATTTAAAGTCGTCCATCATTGATTCTTTGATGGAATCGGTGGTTTCTTTAACAGCTTCTTTTAGATGTTTCTCACTGGGTGTTGTGAATTCGCTTAAAAACTTATCCAATTTGGCGTCTGCTTCCTTTCTATCCGGAATAGTATCGACGAGGTCAAGTAAATTCGTGTCCATTTTAGGTGAAACAGCTTCTGCCTTCTTCGTATCGAACAAACCCAGTTGATTAGCGCCGTCGCCAACGGTGGCGCTAGTATTCTCTACAACCTTATCGATTTTCCCGGCGTCCAACAACGGTCTAGGAATTTCCACCAAGGGTGAAACGTCATGTCCTAAGTGTTCGAAATCATCAACGGAATCACCTTCTCGTCGAATTTCTCGAATTTTCTCTGTATCTCCAAAATTACTATTCGTATTTCCAAGATCCATAACTTAACGTTTTGAACAATTTTTTTCAGATTTTGTATGTGGGATTTTTGCGAGTTATTTTCTTTAAGTATTCTTACGGCGGGGAGTTTATTTCTTCTCGGGTTTCTTTTGCACTGAGGATTTACCGAAACTTCTTGCGTAAACGGAACCGGCACTACTGTCAAACGTCAGATTGAAAGGACTCCGCATCGTGCGGAAATTGTTTTCAATGGGGGAGAGAGCGTCGAGGCGCTGATTGGTCGTCGGCGTCTATTTGGGACGGAGAGTGACTCACTCGGAGCGTCGTCGTTGTCGACCGTCCAGACACCGCTCACCATTCTTTATTTTATACCATTCCATTCTACCAACTCAACCCATAAAATTAACTATGTATAATCACATTTCTCAATATCTATATCACTTGGTATTTATGGACAGTCCTCATTGGAAAATTTTTTATTCAAAAATAATCAAAAAGGAAAAATTGAAAACGATTTAAATTCAAGGTGGTTACATGAGAACGTATTCAAGCCGGTTTTAGACGATAGAACATCTTCAGTCCAGTTTTAATAAATTAAACAAAACATTAAACTAATAATATTACAATAATTTGAAGAAAAACATTTAATAATAATAAAGATGGATCTAAAGAAATTTTATAAGTTCATAAAAACTACATCAAAAAATAATCAATTATTATTATTGTACCTTTTGAGATCTTTTTAAGATTATCATTATAAATTCGAGCACCTCTTCAAGTACACGCACACATTTTTTATAACTACTTTGTAATAACCTCATTAACAAGCTTAACAAACAATTTAAACTAGTAGAAAGTTACACAAGATTATCTAACTTATCGACTAATACTTTATTTTCATTTTGATTATCAAAACAAAAAATGAACCTCTCAAAGAGGGATTTAACAACACTGATTATTATAACAAAAACCATAAATTTCGATTTATTTATTTCTTTATCGTATAGCTACATGGTAATACATATAAAGCATAAAACAAAATATAAAATATAGGTACCTCTACAGGTGTCCTGAAATTCAACGTCAAGTGGGTACTGGGTGAGAGGCCAACTCATACATGTTCTGGTCAAAATAAAAAAGTTTATGTCTCTTAGTTAAGTGGTAATAGACATATTTTGGAAAATGTTAAAAATCGTTTTCGCAGATCATATCTTTAGGTGCTACGGTTAGAAAGTGATCCTTATTAAGCTTGCTACTATAGAATTCTTCTTCTATAGAATTTTGCGAAAAAAATATGAGTTTGATTATTAAGGTTGAAAAAAATTATTTCTATTAAGCTAGACACACGATTTCTAAACAAAGGAGTACGACAGCACCCTTAGCAAGTGATTTTAAAAGATAGCCTGTTTAGTCAAGATTCCAAAATGGTGAAACACTTGCCATTTTCCTTTTTATAAAAAATATTATTGCTTGTTTTTCTGCAAAAAAACACATTATTAAAAAAAACATACCATCTTATTGAAACCACATTTATCCGTAGGTATTGACACATCTTCTAACAAAGTTGGTTCATTAGTTTGGAGGAAATACAAATAGTTTACGATAGTATGATTTTTTAAATAACGTGCTTTTTGCAGAAAAACAGGCAATAATATTTTTTATGAAAAGAAAAGTGATAAGTATTGTACCACTTTGGAATCTTGCCTAAACAGGCCATCTTTTAAAATCACTTGCCAAGGGTGCTGTCATACTCCTTTGTTTCGAAATCGTGTGTCAAACTTAATAGAAATAAATTTGTTCAACCTTAACTCAATCAAACCAATACTTTTTCGTATAACGTGTGACTTTTATAGTAGCATGGTTAATAAGGATTACATTATTAAAAAAATTGCGATTAAATTGCGAACATTTCTGACCCTAGTACCTAAAAATATAATGTACGGGAACGATTTAACATTTTCAAAAATATGTCTATACAGAACAGGTATGGGTTGGCCTCTCACTCGGTGCCCGCTTGACGTTGAGTTTCGGGACACTTTGTATATATTTAGTCTCATAACATTTTTAAAAATCTGTCTATTATTAATTAACTAAGAGACATAGAACTTTTTTCATACTTTCACCAGAACAGATATGAGTTGGCCTCTCACTCGGTACTCGCTTGACGTTGACTTTCGGGACACCTGTATTAAAAAAAAAAAACAAAATAGCGGACGAACAGTTATATCTTGATTGTCAAATTGTTAATCCATTCGATTGCCTGCATTGATTACGGCATGTTGAATCCAATTCGCCAGGGTATGCCGATATTTCGCAGTATTACACATAAGACAATATGTTCAATGGTCTGATTCTCCTTAACGCAGTCACACATGGGGTCCGCAGCTTTGTTCCATTTATGGAGTGAGTCTCTGTATAAGCCGTACCTTGTTCGAATCCTGTCAGCGGTTTTGAATATGCGGGATAAGTCAAAACTAACTGACTTGTTAAATATATGGACAGGTGTCGGTTAACTTCGACCGGAAACCTTTTGAGGTTATAAAAGAGTGCCTAACAAGGATCTGGCAATGTCCCCCGCTTCGCTTGCCTGTGGCGCTTATGGCTAGATTATACCAAATTTTAATCTCGAGGATGGTGCTCAAATAATTTGTTATACATTTTTGAAAAGCACTTATTTAAAATGACGTTTGTAAAGAATAGTTATAAAAATAAAGTGTTTTCTCTGAAGCAGTTAGTTATTAAGAAGTGAGACTTTTTGAGATTATAAAGGAACGTTTACGGTTATGTTTTACAAAATTTTAAATTTCTATGATGATCTATTTAATTATTTGTCACTTAACAATTTATTATTTCTACTCTGTGATTTTTAAAACATTAATTACCGAGTATATCGAAAATTGTTAGCTATAGTAGAAACCACGAGAGCTGGCAGTGACAGATCGCTTGGAAATGGTATGAATCAAGATATGGACGTACGACTTAGATTATTTCACCTCATACATTTAAATGTAGGTTATGTTAGTAATGGAGGTTATATGTCAAACATTGTCAAAAATATTATTTAATGATTTTCCTTTCAATGAAAACATTTCCGGCTTGTGAAAATACTGACAGATTCATGACAACTCTCACAAGACGTTTCGATTTGAGGTTATAATTGTAGAGTTACATCCCTTAGAAGAACAGACGTACTTTTTCGACATGGCCATTTGAATTGTACAGGAGCTTTGATACAGGAAACATATTAAACTAATGCTATCTCTTTCTAACACACATTACTCTCTAGCGGTTTGTGAACTACGTATGGCATTTGTAAGAGCGGAAAATGATGATTTACTGCCAGCTCTCGTGGCGTCTACTATAATTAGAATTATGTATACAGTATGTCCCCGGATCGAGTTACAAAGAGGAAAAAAAAATTTATTACTGATTTTTCAAACTTATCTCAGCATAAATAATGCGTCGGATATGTTCAAACCACTAAATCGCACGAACTTTATATTCTAACTACAGAAGTTAACTAATTATTGACAATTTTTCAAGTTCAATTTGTGATATGTAACCATAGAAACTATAAAAGTTACAACTTATGTTGATGAGATTAAGTCTTTTCATGTGATGTTAACCGTGAAAGAGAGAATTTATTTAGTACTGTGCTATGGTACTAGTAAATCATGTTTTCGTGTAGTTATACAAAAATTCCAGCAAAAATATCCGGACACAAAAATATCTCCTGTTGAAGCTCGCAAACCTATGAAAAAATTTTTGGAAACGGGTTCTCTATTATCCATAGAGCTAGCGAGGGTTACTGGCAACTAAATGCAAGGTTGCTAGTTCTAGTTTGTGACAGAATTTCGATAGAAGAAGTTGGATGCGGGGGAAAGTTTAAACCATCTGACTTGACATCCATATAAATCTGATCTATAATTCCATATATTATAATATAAATGATAAATAAAATAAAATAAATAATGTCGTAAATCTTCGGTCTGGTCAGCTTCGGTCAGCTGTATATAGGATTAATGAATCGCCACGATGAGGATAAAAAAGGAAGAAGTCAGCCTGTTTGGTGCCGGTGTTGGTACAGATCCTGTTAGTAGTAATCTTCCATTCTATATTGGGCGCGTTCACCAGAGAATTCCGTTTACGTTGGCAAACGCAAACGGGTTACGATTGCGTTGGTGATTTGGTGAACGGCCAATTTTTCTATAGACATATGGTTTGATAACAACAGATGGCGCTTTAATGACATTTATTTTTAATTTATTTACAATTTTAATTCATTTATAGATACATACCGCTCTTTGATTATATATAATATAGATTGAGCCAACGAGAGCGATAGCTTGCGCAAGGTGATCGAACCGAGATAGACATAGAAGCGTACTGACATATAATGGGCGTGCGTTAATTTATAAGATAAAAACTATCAATTAGAAGTAACATTTATAATACTTACAGGTGATGTGAAACTGTATTATCGCGAACTTTGCACACGAAACAATACATTTTTAAACATAACGGTGTGACTGGCTGTGACACAACAAAACGATAAACGTCAAATGGAAGAGATTTGACACTTTTTTTGCGCATGCGCCCGTCTGTTTAGTACTGTTTTATGTCTATCTTTGTTACACTTTCACATTATCGCTTTCCATCTGCGTCTATTCACCTTGAGCCACATTTTTGTTAGTAGGTAGATATATTCAGTTAGCTCAATCCATATTATATATAATCAAAGATCGCTCAATTTATCATGCATTCTTCATTTTCAAAGATAGCATACACTAACCCATTAAATAAATCATTTCGGGCCTCTGCCATTCTTTTTTGTTGTATTTAAATTTAAGATGACACCAAACACCGTTTGCGTTTGCTAACGGAAAAATCTTACGATTGATAAAATGGCGGCCGTTTACCAAACACGTTTGAAGTTAGGGTTGCGTTCACCAGAAATGTTGCCAACAGTTTGGCCTCCGTTTGCAAACGTTGACAGTCGGTGAACGCGCGCTTAGAAATTCTGTGGAACCCGTCATTCCGTGAGTCCTGTTTAAGAGAGTTTCCGTGTTTATGTCATTTGGAGATATTTACGCAAACGAAGTTAATGGTTGTAAGTTAATTCGTTGACTGTACTGTGAGTGGGCAATGTTGGTTTGGACATAAATCCGTTGTATAAAGGAGCCTACGAATAGTATCAATTTGACAAATGTTCTATACAATTATGAGTGCAATCCAAATGATCAATCATGATTCTACTTTTCTTTAAGTACGAATATATACCGGGAAACAGGTACATGTACAGGCTGGTTCAGTTTTTAATCGGGAAACTTTACTAAGATGTAGTACTTGCCAAAATAATACAAGTTTTTTATATAAACATAGGGCTGCAGCTCTTTTGTTTTCGAGCTATGAGCGATCAAAGTTGAGTCAAAAATTTACATTTTATTTTTTATTTGGGCTATCAGTAAACCGGAAAATTTGAAATTTTGTACGTATTTACTACTGGTTAAGACCTTATTTTCAAGCATACCTTGAGCTTTCCTAGCGCCTTCTAAGAGGATGAAATTCACAACCACTTTGATTTTTTTGTAAGAACTTTTTGATGCTATGGAATATTAACATAAAAAAATGTGGGTTGTAAAACTCATTCTGTAATGGTTCTCTTTTGTCTCTCTAGTTTTTTCCTTAAAGTTAACAGTTTTCGCGTAAAATTAAAAACTGAACCATCCTGTATAACAGGTTACAAGTTTACGTAATACGGATGAGTGCTAAACAAAATTGCGGTCGATGCATGCAGTAATATTTTATGATAGAGGTTAATGATCAATAGAAATATACCGAGTCTTTTTCCAACCTTAAAATTCCTTCATCATCTATAAAAGTTTTTTTAACAACTTAAAGATAAAAAACTTGGTTAAAATTGATTAACATCAAGAGTTGGTGTTGGGATGTCATAATGCTCACTTTTTCTTCAAAGGCAGTAAACCCTTAATATTAATAACGGCCAAAATTGGCATTTAAAAGTAGAAATTAGCTAGGCGTATTTGGAGGTGAAAAGAAACGAGGAGATAGTTCCTTTTATGATCGATCTCAATTGGGTTTTCTTATTTCCATTTCCGTTATTACATATTCAAAATTGAGGTTAAAAAATATTGGAACCAGCCTCCTCCTTACTTTAGACCTTGTATCAGGACAAATACTTCGGTTAGTTTTTTGTATACGGACACATGCCTCTGTGCTTGTTAGTCTGGATTTTAGTAATCTTATAAGCCTTGAGGGTATGTTAAAGTGTTTGAGGTCTTTAAGTATTTGTTTTCTATCGACAGAGTCGTATGCTTATTTGAATTCTATAAATAGAGTCTACACATCTACAGCATATTGCAATGTGTTCCGTAGAGTTTGTTAGACTGTAAAAATCTGAGCGATTGTGAGTGTTTCAAAATTATGCCACGACACCCTGTAGAGAAGTGTAAAAGTACACATCTATGCAGGAATATTCTCAACCTATACGCATAAACTTGAGGATTTATTCCTCATGACAAATAATCGCTAATAGATGAAAACAATTGTAGTAAAAGTTTTTTAGTTTCTCTAAACCTAAATAATGGGTTTCCTGGAAGATGAATAGGTCGAGATGGTCCATGGCCTGACTAACGTGATCGCCTAGCCTCAACCCTCTTGATTTTTACTTGTCGGGTCACTTAAAAAAGCAAAGTGTACGTCACGGAAGTTAATACTGAGCAAATATTGCAAAATCATTTACATGCTGCTGCCCAGACAATTCGCCAACACCTTGCTTTAGACCGCAATAATGGGAGATCGTGGTTTTCGGGAGGCCAATTGATAGAAAATATGGGAAATCACTTTGAACACTTGCTGTGATGTTATTTTAAAATGTTCTATGTATTCTTGATTTGAAAGTAGTAGAGTTTTTTCGCCTATTAGTCATTATTCGTCGTGAGGAGTAAATCCCCAAGTTTATGCGTATAGGTTGAAAATCACCCTGTATAATACTTCCGTACATATTAATTGTAAAATTCTTTGGCACTGGGTTTCGAAATGCTCAGCATTACTTCAGAGAAGTATTTACCATAACCAAGAGTAATGAGAAAAAACTTTCTGTACATTTCATGTTTAACGTCTGTTTCATCTTTAGAGAAATGGTTTAACAAATGGAAAATGGAAATTTCTCTGCGAGATCTTGTCTTACAGTGTTTCTTTTGGTTGTTGATTTTTAAGTATAATTCAACATGTAAGTTTTTTTCTTCCTTCATCATTTTCCAAAGCTGGTTGTTTATTTCGGTTGCATACATAATGCTGTCAAGAATAATGACTAGTTACATCTTCACATTAATTTGGAATTTGTGAAATAGTTCCTACAAACACTATTTGTTCTATATTCTTTAGCGTTGCATTCTTGCACAATCTGAACAATCTATTTCTTCTTCTCTTCATAGTGGAACTTAATCAGAAGCGGCGCTACCGGGGGGTTCAAGGGGTGCACTGCATCCGGGCGCTGCCTAAAAGGGGGCGCCGGCGCCTTTTTAGTATCTAGTCTTCAGAAAGCAGTATTTAGTCTTCTAGAAGCAGTATCTAGTCTTCAGAAAGCAGTATTTAGTCTTCTAGAAGCAGTATCTAGTCTTCTGCCAAAGTTATGTATGTTTTCTCCAAAATATTTTATCTTTCTTTTGTAGGATTTAGACCTGTTAGCAGTATCTAGTTTTCAGAAAGCAGTATTTAGTCTCCACAAAGCAATTTTAGTCTTTAGAAGGCAGTATTTAGTGTTACAGACGTTGTATTTAGACCTGTTGGAAGTATCTAGTCTTCAAAAAGCAGTATTTAGTCTTCTAGAAACAATATCTAGTCTCCTGCCAACATTATGTATATTTTCTCCAACAATATCTTATCTTTCTTTTGCAGTACTTAGACCTGTCAGCAGTATCTAGTCTTCAGAAAGCAGTATTTAGTTTCCACAAAGCAATTTTATTCTTTAGAAAGCAGTATTTAGTGTTCCAGATGCTGTATTTAGACCTGTCGGCAGTATCTAGTCTTCAGAAAGCAGTATTTAATCGTCCAGAGCAGTATCTAGTCTTCAGAAAGCAGTATTTAATCTTCCAGAGCAGTATCTAGTCTTCAGAAAGCAGTATTTAGTTTTTTAGAAGTAGTATCTAGTCTTCTGCCAACGTTATGTATGTTTTGTTCTTGATACTGACAGCTACTTCTTTCTGGGTGTCTATCGTCATCTTTTTGGGAGCCTCTTATTATCTATACGGATCTAGTACCACCCTGTACCTCATTTCTGCAGCTGTTACTTTGCTTTTGTGCTTATCCTGCATTGGCAAAGTTTCCGTATTGGCGATTTCCTGTCCTGTGTAATAACAAGACAAGTCCATTGGTTTCTTGTTCATATTCTTCGCATTCTTTTATTGAACACATAAGTATTGCCATGAAAAATCATGTTTGGTTTATAATCAATTTTTTGTTTTAGTAATTTCAGACTTCATGTGGACTTTGCATAATGTAATTTCTGTTTTTTTGCTGATGTCTAGTTTGTAACTATTACAATTTCAGACTTTTTCTTGCAAATTAACCTTCTGACCAGAGTATTCCCGACTATTCCCTTAAGTTTGGTTTTTCACTAGTATAATTCTTAAATTTTTGCTGAAGTATGGATTATGATTATTCCAGTCTTTTTTAAGTTTTTTTTTATATTTCTTTGATTAAGTATATATATTTTTTAATTAAAATGCATTTTTTAATTTTTTCCCCGCATTTTGGGCACCCCCCCCCCTTATTCCGCCCAAAATGCTGGGTATTGGTCGTTTACTAATTCTGATTTTCATTTTAAAAGAAATTTTGTTGAAATGTTTTTATTCTTGATTAATTTATTATTTAACTTATTTCTGTGGAATATGAGTAATATAGAAGAAATAAGCTGTTATCTTCAACTGAGTTTCACTGGATGCCGAGTTATCAAAGAAATCAATACATTTTTGATTCTAAGAAATATTGTTGTCTCTTTTTAGTCCACAATTCAATGTTCCACTCAATTTTAACTTGTTCATCTTAGAAATATAAAATTGGAAAACTTTTAATGGAAGTTTTAGTAATGAAGAACGTGTTAAGTTAGTTAAAGTAGTTCAATTTCAATACTGATAAATAACGTGTTTGTAACCTACCGGTCGTGTATAACGGGCTTTAAACCGGCGTCGCCCAAAAACGTAAAACGAAATCGCCTGATATCGTACCGCAGTCGCAGTCACCGCAGTGCACAGTGAAGGAGAGGCGCAAGCGCTTACTCCGGGTTAGAATGGCAACGAGGATGGATCAGGGAGTTGGTGAGGCTTCCGTTACGGAGGTCTTGGACGGTTTTAACGTAGAAAAGGCCACTCTAAAAAAGTATTCTCCAACCCTCCTTAACGGACACCTGGTAAGTGTTTATTTACTTTATTCAAATAATCAATCATCAGTCTCGTGTTTTATGTTCTAGAAAAAAGGGGCCAAACCATCGTTTAGAAGCCATCTCAACGGACACGTTTTAGTGAGAATTAAACAAGATTGATTGATTTAATTCGTTTGATTTATTGTATGTTTTTTTATTAACAGACATCCTCGTCTGATGAAGATTCCAGGAAACTTAAAGGAAAACTATTACAAAATGTAAGTTAAACCATGAAACGTGTTTGTTTTTGTTTTAAAATGTATTTAAGTTGATAATATGCTTATTATCTGAGTAAATTTGCGTATAAAATCACAAATGGCCTGATTTTCCTTTATTTAAGCACTTAACGTTAATCTTGTTGCATGATTTTAACTACGCAACTCCCACAAAACATAAATTTCATGAATCTAATTTCATTACAAATAAACAGTTTAATCCAAAAAGATGATATTTAATTTTTTTAAATATTTAATGTTACAGGGTGTGGATAAATTTAAAAAAACCAGAGCAATTAAAGAATCATTTGAACACCCAAGTATATTTGCAAAAATTCTCACCCAACTTGGTTTTTACATCCTCATGTTCCTGGGGTATATAAGCCAGGCTTTATTTCCACCAAAAATAGCTGTTGAGAAAAATCGGGAAGGTTATCCACCTTTATACGATCGGTTTTCAAGCTTTTATTCAAGATATGTTTATCGAAGAATCAGAGATTGTTGGAATTATCCAATATGCAGTGTACCTGGTGCGGAAATTCATTTAAAAGACAGAATAACCAAAGATAACGGATGGACTTTTGAGTATAATTCTGTTAATTAAAATAATTGAATCGTTTATTTCAGAAAAGGAGTAAGTAACATTTTTATGTTTTTGAGAAAAACGACAAAAATAAGGTATTTTTTTGTAATTCGCGACGGTAATGAAAGCTATAACAGTACTCAAACGGGTGCTGTAATGAGACTCCTTACAGCATCCAATGCTGTAATGAGATTTTAGTAACATTTTATGGAACCAGTTCAAGTTGGTGACATTGGGTCATTAATTTTTCTAGTTGTCAATGTGACAATGTTTGTTTATGGATGTTTAAACAAGTTCTTAGCATTGAATACAAGGTCCACAATGATGAGGACATTGAACTCTGAGCAATTTCTCTTATTTTGGGAGGTGTACATGAAACATTTTTGTCAGGTGAATACATTTTGTGTTTTGACAGTTTCTAATTGTCAATTCAAATTTCTATTTTCAAGTGTTACGGTGTTACCAACTGCTACATACCTATTTCCCTACATAGTCAAAATTTATTTTATTTTCGAGAAAAAAAAGGGTAAAAACGCGAATTACAAAAAATAGCATAAAAAACACGTTTCATAAGACCTAAAGCACTCATTCATTCACAACTTAAATTCGTGCATTTCAAACGTGTCTTACGAAACTTGCTTTTCAATATACTATTACAATTTAAAGAGTGTTCGCGACATTTTTTATTACAAATTGCATATACAGTGTGTCCGTAAAGTAACGGATATAGGTGATAAAATCATTATGAACGGTTTATGGAAAAACCCTGAAGCGGGTCTAAAGATTTAAGTTTTTTGCAACTTTTTGGTGTAGGTTTCAAATTTTTTCCGCCATTTTTAACCGAGTTATGACGTCATCGATATTTTTTTCAAATAGCAATCCCCCATTTTTATTACGGAATATGAAAGAGAATTTTTTTCTGAATCTAGCACAGTCAATATTAATATTGGTTACATAAGAAAATTTTCGAGAAAAATTACTTTAAAGTTTAATTACTTCAAATTCGTTTGACATGAAAAAATAGCAGTAGCCATAACAACCGGTTTAATTACAAATAAAAAATAAAATTAATAAATTAAATGAATAAATAACAAATAAAATTAATAAATTTAATGAATAAATGAAAAATTAAAATTAAGTTAGTGTTCAAATTGTGCACCATGGGCAGCTTGACAGTAACCTAAACGATTTCTACATTCTTCCTGGCAATTCTCTAAGATATCAGGAGTTATTCGCTGAACTTCTTCTCGCATTTTGATTTTCCCAAAGTATTTGGTCTAGTGGTATAAACTTTACTCTTCAGATATCCCCAAAGGAAGAAGTCCAGCGGAGTCAAATCAGGTGATATTGCAGGCCATTCAATTGGCCCTTTTCTCCCAATCCATTGAATGGGAAATACTTGCACTCGTCTGAAACATTTGGTCGGCCAGACTTCGAGAGATCCCGTACATACTCATGATTTTTAAATTTAGTGACAATGCGGCTTACCGTAGTTTGGCTTATGGGTTCATGGTCAGGATATGTTGCATTAAAGAGCTCTACTACTTCTTTTTGAGTTCGAGTTCGATCCCCAATTCCAATGAAACACAGAATTTCTATTCTTTCCCGCTCGGTCAAATGTAACATTTTAATAAATTAACAATGAAAACAAATAAAAGTAAACAATAAACAAAAATTAACTCAAAAGTAATGTAAGAATAGTTTAAATCAATGCTATAAGAAACAACAAGCTTTACTAAATCAGTGTTTGACACTTATAAAACTTAGAGAATTGTTTAAAATGATTGGTTACCATAGTTACTCATGGCTACTGCTATTTTTTCCATGTCAAGCAAATTTGAAGTAATTAAACTTTAAAGTAATTTTTCTCGAAAATTTTCTTATGTAACGAATATTAATATTGACTGTATTAGGTTCAGAATAACATCTTCTTTCATATACCGCAATAAAAATGGGGAATTGCCATTTGAAAAAAATATCGATGACGTCATAACTCAGTTAAAAATGGCGGAAAAAATTTGTAACCTACACCAAAAAGTTGCAAAAAATTTAAATCTTTAGACCCCTCTCAGGGATTTTTCCATAAACCGTTCATAATGATTTTATCGCCTATATCCGTTACTTTACGGACACACTGTATAACTACCAATACATGTTATCATAACTGAATTTAATTGTTTTATGTGAGTTGTTTTGTTATGAGTTTTATGTTCATGAAGAAAATAATGAAAGTGGGATATTGTAAATGGTTTTTTGTTATCTCAAACTACTCTGGGTTTCATGTTTTCAAGAGAATTTGCAGTTTTTTTTTGTAATATTTAGGCCAGCAGTTTTTGAAATCGAGAATGTCTTTTTAAGAAATTTCGTTTATCATAAATTTCTGGTTAGCACTTGAAGCAATAATTTCTGTGTAAGTATCGTGCTTCTTAAGACATCTTTTGACCATGCCAAAATCGCGATTGTTCGTGATAAAAGAGTAGCCTCTTAAGGGGAAAAACTGTTCTATTATCTGAAATCTGTTGATCTCAACCAAAGTCATACACGTACATAGCAGTGTATGGTTCTTGTTTTGCCCTGGGAAGTTGTCACTGTAGAGGTGTAATTCTTTGGAACTGCCAGGTATTTCTTTTTAAATATAGTTCCATAAAAATGAAGCAACTTCATTAGAGCCTTCATAATGCAGGGTGTTTCAGGTTCTTGTGGCAGGACTGTCGACAGTCGATACATCTTTTAAAATTAACACAAAAACTTCATATAAACATAGGTCAACAAACGCTTTGTTTTGGAGATACAGCGTTTTCAAATTAAATTTTTTAATTGATTTTTATTTAATATTACGATTCTATATACTGTATTTCAACCGATTCTATTCAAATTTGGTATATGGAGGTTTATTGGCATGAGAAAGTCGATTATGGAGTCCGTTTTACTATCGGCACTCTGTAACGTATTCTTTACGTATTAAAATAACAATAACTTTTCTGACAGTATACTTTTTGGCTTTTTGAAAGAAAATTCTTATTCTGGGTACCTTTTTAAGCAAAAACGGTACTCTTATCAAAATGCGCTAAAGTTGATCGTTTTCAATATAATCCGCTTTTTATTATTCGATATTTTTTTAGAGGATTGTTAAAGATATGTATAATAATAATTGCCATTGAAACAAAGTAGGTAAGTTCACTAATGTTTTAGTTTATTGTATAAAGTGTCAAATCACCAGTTGTCGATCAGTGTAAAATTAATTTTTTCTTATTCGTTAACGTGTTACATTCAATTTTCTTGTTTATTAACTTGCTAAATTAATTATTTTTTTTTCCTAATTGTGTTAAATTGGTTTTTTTTCCATTTTTTGTTTGCTGCATAAAAACCTTATAAAATGCCGTTTATTTTTCCTAACTAAGTGTTCGCGGATATTCATTTTGTTTATGGGTTTACAAACGGAAATTCAGCAAAAGTAGCCCTAGAGTATAGGAGAAGATTCCAAATAGAAGACATCCGCATCTTTCTGTGTTTGTGAAAGTGCATAGACAAATAGTTGAACTACTTGGGCTAAATAATGACGGGAAAATCGTAATAATGACAATCTTAGACTACAAAGAAACTTTAGAAGAAGAATTTTGCGTGAGTTCGACAGAGATCCCACTACGAGTGCTTATCATTTACAACCCTTGCAAGGATTGCAACCAGGCGATGAAGAACGACGTGTAACGTTTTGTCGGTGGATTGCTAAAGCATGAGCCAACAATCGAGATCTTTTAAATAATGTAATGTGGAACGATGAATCGTGTTTCACAATTTACATGTTTGGGTATCCCTACGCAATTCGGCAACGAAACTTCCAACATGAATTTAGTGTCTACGTCTGGGTAGGTGTTAATAATAATCATCTTTTCGGACCATACTTTTTGGCATCACAACTAAACGCTGCAGCGTTCTTGTAATTTTTGGTAGCTGAACATGCCAATATGTGGGATGACATTGGTTTAGCTTTAAGAAGAAAGGCCTGGTTTCAACTTGATGATTGCGCAGCTTATCATGGTAGGGTGGTAAGAAATTGGCTAGACAACTATTTTCCTGCAAGATGGATCTGCAGATTTTAATGCTTTAGACTTTTTTGTGTGGAGATATTTGACAGGAAAATTGTATGAGACAGCTATTCCCACAAGGGATGAACTTTTAATAGGATTAGGAACGCTTGTAATGACATAAGGCCGTTCTTAAATACCACTACTCGATCAGTAATTCGTCGGACAGAATTATGCAAGCAAAATTTTTTACATTTTCAACAATTTCTTTAATTTTTTTCTTTTATTATTTAGATTAAAAAACATTAATAAACTAAAACATTTGTTAATTTAGCTACTTCGTTTGCATGGCACACACTATTTTAACTATCCTCTAAAAACATTGGTCTGTATCGAATAATAAAAAGCGGATTATCTTGAAAACTATAAACTTTAGCGCATTTTGATAAGAGTACCCTTTTTCTTAAAAAGTACAGAGAAAAGGCTTTAGAAGAGGCTTTATTCAAAAAGCCAAAAAGTATACTGACAGAAAAGTTATTAAGAAGGTTTGAAATTAAATGTGATACTTCTGTACTTTTAACTGGTCATTTATTAAATTTTATTTATCTGACTAGTTTCGGTTTAAAGAACCATCTTCAGAGATAAAACTCAAAAATTTAAGAAACCAACATTGTAATAAACCTCAACTTCATAATTATTACTTATTAAAATTAATATTAAAGTCACTATATATACGCTAAGCACATTTAACAAGTTAGACAAACGTTCTGTAGGATTAACAGTCGTGTAATGTATACTGGTAAAATGGATTACGTACTTAATTTTAATCATAAGAAAAGTTATTGTTATTTTAATCCGTAAAGAATACGATACAGAGAGCGGCTATAGTAAAACGGACTCCATAATCGTCTTTCTCATGGCAATAAAACCTCCGTATACCAAATTTGAAAAGAATCGGTTAAAATACGCGTGTAATATTAAATAAAAATTAAATTTGAACACACTGTATCTCAAAACAAAGCGTTTGTCAACCTATGTTTATATGATTGTTCATTTTAAAAGATCTATCGGCTGTTAAAGTCCTGCTACCCTGTATATATAAAAATACCCTTGTCCATTCTTACAGTTATGAATACATTAACTGAGTCAAATAGAACATCAAAAGTTACCACCGCCAAATCGTCATGAGTTTTGCACTCAGCACTAGAGTTCTTCAACGATGTGTAAAATTTTTTTGCTCGTTTATGTATCATCAATTCAGCAACCGCTGCACGCTTGGCATGTTCTCCTAAGGTTGAATTTTTTGTTTTCATATTAAGTTCTTCACACTTGCGGCATGTATTTACTTGAGAACGGCGAAAAGGTAGATGATTGCAATGGTCATGAAAACATTTAACATAGTAACTGTAGCGTATACGAGTATTTTTATGTTTTTGCGATTTGGCACAGTTTACGTTTTTGTCATTCAACATGAATGTAGTAGAAAAACGAAATTTTTTTTTATCTCTGCATAGATCTCCTTTGAACTTCATGCATTTCTAAAAGGGCTTGTAAGTAAATATCGTGTTCATCTTTAGTATTAAATTCTACGTATAGCTTGTGGAAAGTTTTCAGTTTTAGCTAATCGTTCGACTTTTGGAAACATTTCATTGGACATCTTAAAGTATTAATTTATATATACAGGGTGATTCATAAGTAATGGGCCAAATTGTAAATGTACGTTCAGGAGGCCAAAATAATAATATTTTTATTAACAACAATGGGTCTTAGTCTGCTCCTTACTGAGATACAGGATGTTAAAGCGAAAAAAATAAAATAGATTTTTGTTAATAGATCAGCTACTTTTCTACATAATGACTCATAGTTGACTTATAGTTTTTGTAAGGGTAAACAATAATGTGTGAGAGGATTTGAGTTAACTCGTAGATGTCGCCACATGCGCCATATGAATTAGATGAAATCAGCTACAAATTTTTTATCGCTCATTATTTTACAACATACTTGTTTAATTTGGATAGCCCCATCATTTCTGTAGAAAAAAGCTATACTTCTTTGATCTTGAAAATATTAACGATTTTCGAGATATTTGAATTTTACTAATTCACTACACTACATTTCACGGTGGTCGACGTAGCATTAATCTGTTAAGACACAAGCATGGCATGGAATGTTGACATTTACCTAACCGTAATTGATAATTGATAACAATATTAAACTGAAACCATAAAAAAATTACGTAATAAAACAATTTATTGTACGCCAGTTAATAAAACGAAATACAACATTAGAACAGACTTGAACTAAGACCACTTACGACAACTGTTATCAAAACCTACATGTTAATGTTGTGCGAAGTTAAATTAAATTTAAGCTTAATTATGAGCTACTGCAAAAGGTTTTCAACATGACCACCACCAGCATTTATACACGCATTTAACCGTTTGGTTAAGGATTGTCTGACTTTAAAAAATGTAGCAGGATTATTTCGTATTGAATTGGCTGCATCTTGAATTCTATTCCATAACTCGTCTCGTGTATTTATAGTAGGTTCAGCATAGACCATTGATTTCATGTAACCCCACACATAAAAATCAAGTGGATTAAAATCGGGACTGCGAGGTGGCCACTGAAATTCACTACCACGTCCAATCCAACGGTGAGGGAATGTTTCATTCAGATGTTCGCGCACAGCACGTGAAAAATGTGGAGGAGCACCGTCTTGCATGAACCACATATTTCTTCTTAGTTGTAATGGAAGATCTCCCAAGAGGTCGACTAAGTCATTATTTAAAAAAATTAAATATGACTCTCCATTTAAATTAGGAGGTAATTCAACTGGGCCCAGTAATGTATTGCCTATTACACCGCACCACACATTTATTTTAAACTCGTGCTGGAAATGTCTATCTTTTTTTAAACGAGGGTTTTCGGTTTCCCAGGCATGACTATTTCGCCAATTAAAAACTCCGCGTCTGGTAAAGGTTGCTTCATCCGTGAAAAGAATGTTATTTAGGAATGTTGGATTATTATTCAATTTTCCTTTTAGCCACTGACAAAATTGAACTCTGATTCGATAATCTGTTGGAAGTAAATTTTGCACAGGTATAAAATGATAGGGATATAAATTTTCCTTGTGTAAAATTCTAGTCACGGATGGTTGGCTTATTCCAGTTGCTGCAGACAATCGACGAGTGCTTATTTCAGAATTTTGCGCAATTCTTACCAAAATTTCATCTTCTTGCTGCGGAGTGATAATCTTAGGACGTCCTGTATGATATTTTGGACGAAATGAACCTGTTTCACCCAATCGATTATAAATATTTTGAAATATCTTCCGGTTTGGCTGCCTTCTGTAAGGGTACATTTCACGATATTTTCTGGATGCTGCTTGCCCAGAAAAACGTTCTTGTGCGTAAACGCATAACATGTCTCTCATTTCTTCGTTTGAAAAGTGATTATGTCTCGGCATTTTGATTTATGTTAGGACAAGAATGAATCAGTTTACTTAACAATAAAATGTTTTAAACTATTCATTAAACGTAAAAGCTCATTGACGTTTCATAATTCATATGGCGCATGTGGCGACATCTACGAGTTAACTCAAATCCTCTCACACATTATTGTTTACCCTTACAAAAACTATAAGTCAACTATGAGTCATTATGTAGAAAAGTAGCTGATCTATTAACAAAAATCTATTTTATTTTTTTCGCTTTAACATCCTGTATCTCAGTAAGGAGCAGACTAAGACCCATTATTGTTAATGAAAATATTATTATTTTGGCCTCCTGAACGTACATTTACAATTTGGCCCATTACTTATGAATCACCCTGTATATCGTTTTGCTTTAACTCTAGCATGTTTTATATTATTTCGAGTATAACAGTCGGAATTGTTAACTCCTCTCTTCCTTTTTTTAGAAACTCTGATTTCTGTATCACTTAGTGAACATTCACTTTCTATTTCTTCCATTATTACCACTTAAAGCAGTTATTGTTACTTAATATAGCTAACAACGCTTTGACTGTATATAAGTCGATAAGTGTTTGATGGTAGTAACGAGCCTTAAGCTCGTTACTACCATCTTCTGGTTAAGCTATCTAAGGGATTATTACCGTGGTTACGGCTATTTTACGCGCTTTGATTGGCTAGTAGATGGGTTTATCTATAAGATAAATTTAACTAAAAGATGGTAGTAATGGACCTCAGTCGCGTAATTGTTAGCCATCAAACTGACAGTTTGTTGCAGAAAGGGACTATCTAACGACACTTAGTACCTTTCTACAGCAAACGAAATATTCTCTCCCTACAATAAATGTTAGAGACTTATGAATCATACTTCCTTTCTACGCCCAACGATAGGTCTACAACAAGATAGTACGAATATACACTTATCTCAAAATTGTCAAAAATGTTACTTAGCCCCTTTCTGAAATAAACGATTCAATTATAATTGTTAATATAATTTGAATTTTTTTAAAATTTAGGTTCACCGGAACAATCACAAAGTGCTTAAACTTAGGTTCATATAATTATTTAGGTTTCGCGGAAAATCAAGGACCTTGCGCGGAATTCGCGATTGATTCAATTTATAAATATGGTGTATCCACGGGGGCTACACGTCAGCAATACGGCACAAATGATCTTCATATTGAATTGGAAAAATTAACAGCCGAATTTTTGGGTACCGAAGATGCAATCACCTTCGGAATGGGTTTTGCTACAAACGCCCTTAACCTCCCAACATTATTATCGCCAGGATGCCTCGTTATTAGCGATGAGAGGAATCATGCATCGTTAATTTTGGGTATACGATTATCTGGTGCTACAGTTAAGGTTTTTAAACATAATGGTAACTAAAAAATTTCATAAAAAAGTGTTTGTTTTTAATTTTAAACAATTTGTAGATGTGAAACATTTAGAGAAAATTTTACAACAACAAATTTATTATGGCCAACCTAAACGAGATGATAATCAGCATAAACCTTGGAAAAAAATTTTAATTGTGGTTGAAGGTGTCTACAGTATGGAAGGTTCTATTGTAAGATTACCAGAAATAATCGAATTAAAAAAGAAATATAAAGCTTATTTATATTTGGATGAAGCGCACAGTATAGGTGCTATGGGTAAACAGGGGAAAGGAATTGTGGATTATTTTGGTGTAAACCCCAAGGATGTTGATATTTTAATGGGGACGTTTACGAAAAGTTTTGGATCGGCTGGAGGTTATATAGCAGGTTCTAAGGTAAGTAAAAAATTATTACTATATTTTAATTGTGAATGTGATTTGGCTGAAATGAAAATAGTTGATAAAATATTTTGAATTAAAACAACATGTGAGACATAAATGACAGTCGGAATTAAATATTTCATAACAAAGATAAGATTGCATCATTTATTTTTTATCTTGGGATGATTTATATTGGGATGTATTTAAGTTCCAAATCCTATTAGAATCATACGATTTTTTTTTGCTTTATAAAGGTCAGAAAGATAGTTCAAATTGTGAAAAGAAATAAAATATTTTAATAAATAACAAATATTTTTAAAATTTATAATTTCCTTGTAGTTTTATAATTAATTTTGTTTTATTTACAAACAATCATTTAAAATTAGTTCAAAGAAATTTGATCAAACTGGAACGGAATTCATGAAACTTACACCCAAATATTTAAAAGAAAATTTAATCTTCACATAAAAAGTTTTATCTAAACCTATTCCGAATCTAATAAAAGAAACACTGATTTTTATCCGCTAAATTTATCATTTAAGCAAAATCATTTATGGATTGATAGGGAACTCAAGGAAATAACGCTCAATCAAAAACACTTCTTCAAAAGAATAATTTTGAGAAATTTAAAATTAACCAAAAAACGTCATCAAAGTTTGGCTAAATTTAAGAATATCACTGCAAATTCAATATTAAAATCCGTAAAATTCTGACCTCAAATTTTCATTAAAAATTTAATATCAAACAATTCAATAAAACATTACTTTTGATTAAAAAACTTAATATTAACTCAAACAAATTTATAGAAACCGAACTCAATTGAAGAAACATCGTCAATATCTCAAAGTATAACCGAATCTTTAGGAATCAAGCAATGGCAGTTGAATAAAGCTCAAAGCAATTCGTGAAATGTTATAAAACATCTTAGTTTTGATCATGAAAATTAACTAATGTTAACCTTCTTGAAGCCATCTCCAAGACAAATTTTTGATGTATCATAAGTTTTGATAGTGATTTATTTAATCTATACTGTTTTTAGATTGGTTTTTTATTTATTTATTATTAGTTCGTGTTTTTTCTTACAATTTCGTTTAGATGTATAGTCATGTTCACGGGAAATGCGCACTCAAGATCAAGCGCTGTTGTGAGATCCGACATGCCGCTGGCTAAACGGGTTGAGCCGAGCGCACCCGAAGCTCGTGGGCGTTCGGCTTAGCTCTTGACCTTGAGTGTACATTTCCCATGAACATGGCTGTACAGTTTAAGTTAATGTAAGGTACCTATGTCACCTAATTTGAATTTAGTTAACATGCAGTATATGGTTGCAGCAATATTGTATACACAATGAAACAAATTGGTCCATTTGGCAGATTTCCTATATAATCTTTTCGAGAATTCGCCCAAATATAATAATTCAATGAACTAAATTGCAATAAATATTCACAATTGTCATAAACTTTTTTTCATGAGTAATAATTTACTGAAAAACGGCGTTCATCAAGTAAATTTGTAAAGGTCCTGACATTATAATGTGATCCCTCATACTTCTAGTCAGTACTTTCAACCACGTAGATATATTGTAATTCTGGACTTGATTCTCAGATACAGTCTCGCTGGAAAACTGCTCATGTGATAGTTCAGATTCTTGAGCTTGGTCTAATTGTTTTGAACCAGAAGAAATATTAACCAATACTTCGCTTTCGGGTTCAGTAGTGAAAGTTCTGAGTATACAATAAAGCAAAACTTTCTTGAAGCTTTTCTGTTAAGTATTTATTAATATTCATACGTTTTTCCGTATGTTCAAAAAGTTTGTCTCTCTCTGCTTTTCTTTTGCGATTTCTAGAACCAGAAACTTTTTTCTTCATGGTTACCATAATGACGTGTGACAAAGAAATTATCTGGCCGCAATTTAAAGAGGAAAATTTGAAAATTGTTATTTTAACTTACGATTTCAACAAAATATCACGGTTTTTGTCACCATTAACCACTACTTTGATTAAAAAAAAATAAATAAAACGCAGCTAGTCTGTGTTAACGATTCATTAACACGGTCACCAACGCGAAATATTCATAGACGCCGCCGAATAGTTACGTCAAATCGAGTCACTTCTCGCCATGTGTTGCTTATCCGGCGACAAAATCCACCGGAAATCGATCGACATTACATCCTTTTGAAAAATTACGGAAAATAACTGATGTACAACCTGGATTCGTTGAAACTTAACTCAACTACAGAAGAAAACAGTAAAAAATGGGAGCATTTCAAAGAGAGAATCTAAGCTCTATACCAACAAAGTATTGCATTTATTGTTGCTTTACGTTTATTTTCACGTTTTTTACGTTATTAACTACTTAATAGATTTGCGAATGTCCCTTGATCCTGGCGCCCCCTTGGCCCTGACGCCCCGGGCGATCGCCCCCACCGGCCCCACCTTAACGCCGCCACTGCTTCTATATAACACTTCTATACATATTAATTGTACAATTCTTTAGTACTGGGTCATGCTCAGTTTGGTGTGACTTCAGAGAAGTATTTTTAAAAACTGTCCACACAGTTTTATCAAGTAATTTACCATAACCAAGAGTAGTGAGGAAAAACTTTCTGCACATTTCATGTTTAATGTCTATTTCATCTTTACAAAAATAGTTTAACAAATGGAAAATGGAAGTTTTTCTGCGAGATCTTGTCCTACACTATTTCTTTTAGTCGTTGATTTTTAAATATAATTCAACATGTAAGTTTTTCTTCCTTAATCATTTTTCAAACCTGGTTGTTTATTTCGGTTGCGTACATAATGCTGTTAAGAATAATGTGCAGTTACATCTTCAGATTAATTTGGAACTTGTGAAATGGTTGCTGCTAACACTTGTCCTGTATCCTTTGACGTTGCATCACATTCAGAACAATCTATTTCTTATTCTCTTCATAGTGGAACTTAACGGTAATTAACATTCGCTTTATAATTCGATTCCATTTTTCGTCAATGGTGCTGTATCTGTTCGTAGTTATTTCCAGTACTTTATTTATAATATGAATATGAGTAATATACAACAAATAAGCTGTTATCTCTATAAGGTCAAATTCAAGTTCAAATTGTTAAAAGAAATAAAATATTTTAATAAATAACGACAAATATTTTTAAAATGTATAATATTCTCTGCGTTAATTTATATAATAAAATTATAACAAATGAAAAATCATTTAAAATTAGTTCAAAGAAACTTGATCAAATTGGAACGGAATTCATGAAACTTGCATCCAAATATTTAAAGGAAAATTTAATTTCAACATAAAACGTTTCATCTAAACCTATCCCGAATCTAATAAAAGAAATACTGATTTTTTAAATGATTTCTGAAAAATCATTTATGGATTGATAGGGAACTCAAGAAAATAACGCTCAATCAAAGAAACTTTTTCAATAGAATAATTTTGAGAAATTTAAAATTAACCAAAAAACGTCATCAAAGTGTGGCCAAATTTAAGAATATCACTGAAAATTCAATATTAAAATCCCTAAATTAAATTCAATAAAACATTAGTTTTGATTAAAAAACTTAATATTAACTCAAACAAATTTATAGAAACCGAACTAAATTGAAGAAATATAAGCGAATCTTTAGAAATCAAACAATGGCAGTTGAATAAAGCTCAAATTCCAATAAATATTCAGAATTGTTATAAACTTTTTTCTCACTTCCAGAATTAGTATCGCATTTACTTACATATACTAAAAATCTATATTGTGAACAAGTTATAATGGGACTGATATAGTTGGAACACAATTTCTAATCAGTATGGTAGGGTCAGTACTAGCAGCCGGACTCTTGCCTAGCGCCACGTAACGCAACCACCTCAATCTCATAAGATCTTATTCTCTAACTTGGGCACAAGTCCGTAATTTGAAGATTTTATTCATAATATTGTCATGCGATTCTTCAACTTCTCTCTACGTTTGAGATAAGACTAAAATTGTTTTGCATCAGTTGCATTTGGATCTCCTCAATTTTGGTTACCACAAATCGTTAACTCACTTTAAAAAAGTCTCGCATTTGCTTGCGTGATCAAGCCAATCACTAACGGAAACTACAGCAGCAATTTCATCTTCAGAAATATCTTTTGTTTTAACAACAACAGGGAACTGAAAAGCGTGTTCCAATAATGCTCCACTTAATAACAGTTAATAAATTATATTATCGTTTCTTCGGATTAAATTGCTTTGCGTTAAATATGATGGAAACTGTGGAGCTTCTATTCTATTTGCAAGATAGGCGAGTTTATATACGTATTTGTCCGTGATGAAAATCCAAATAATGATAGGAAATACCAGAACTGACGAGGAAGAACGTAGAAATTAATCTTTCCCAACAAAAAACGACCATAGACCAATATGGTCTTATTAAAAGCCTATTAAAAAACAAATTGTGCAATACAAATCAACGTACCCTGCGTCATCATGCACATTGTTGTTGAGTGACGTCAACAGGAAATCTACATTTTGAAAGATTAGTTTCAATACCATCAAAGATTTCAAACTGATTAGCATTAATGCTTTTTCGATACTGTACATTTTTAAAGATTGCTTTCAATAACCCAGCAAAGATATCATGCTGACCAGCATTAATGCTTTTTCGATTCTGATATACTGAATATGAACGATTAAATACTGAATACGCTGGTGCACCCCAACTCTTAAAGAGCTTGCCAAGTATGAAGAATATATCCAAAGTTTTACTTGAGTTTCTTTTTTAATGAAAAATGCAAATTTTCTAGCAGATACATATGATGAAATATTTTGTCTTCATCAACCCGGATAACAGTCGGTAATGTGAAGACTATTAAAGTTATTGGCGAATTAATTGATTCTTCAATCTCTTAGAAGGTTTTAAATATGACCGATATTAGTATGGGTCAGTTGCAATATTGCATTATACACAATCAATGAGTGAGGGTGTTAACGTAATGGGTTGGCCAAGGTATAAAATAATTGCTAATTTAAGAAAACAATGAACGG